GAACTCCTGTGGGTGACAAGGTGACATCACACCATCTTTTCTCCATGGATGCCCCCAAGCTAGTGTTTCCAGCGCAGTCGACATTCCATCGATTCAGACGCAAGAATAACAGCAAGTCATAAACAAACAGGCGGAAAGGAAACACAGGAGGTTTTTGCTGAGAAAAGGGGCTGATCTGATGGGAATGCCTCTGAGCAGCAGGGGAGAGCTTTTTGTCCCTGACAGCAGCGGAATGTGTCTTCATGCATGTGAATACCCGACCTTTCTGCAGTCTTTAAATCTGCACCCTTGCCGTGTGGATCATCACGCATGTGCAAATAGGTCATGAGTGTTTGCATTTTGTTCTGTATGACCCTGAACTTCCTGTTTGTGGATCTATGTAATCTCTGCTTTGATGAATACATTTAATGTATGTGTTTGGCCCTCAGTGCTAGGATCTGTCTGTTCACGTAGAGGCACAGAAGATTACATTGAGGGCTCAGATGAGTCAGCAATCACCACACGCTTAAAGAAAGACACACTATCTTTATTTCGTTCTTCCTACACCTCTTCCTTTCCCCTTTCCCCCTTCCCTGCGTGTTACTCTATCTTCCCTGATCTCCTCCTCTTTCCCTCTGCTTGCAGATCAGACCAGGACCACAAGCAGTGGCTCCATTCCTTAGCTTTCCAAAGCTCAGATTAGCATACTGATTAGCTAGCCTTGTGGCTCTATCTTCCCTTGAGCTCACATGCAGGGCTACAGCCTTGTGAATACATAATGGCACACCATCTGCAAACATGGCCGACAGCTTCCAGTGGAGGGAGCTAGTGCACACAAGGCAATGCTTTTATTTTAATTATTTTCTTCTTTTTTTAAAATGTAATCATTGGGCATTGAAGCATTCTCATGAGATTAGAGTTTCCAACCACTATGAGCATTTAAATTGTTGGGCTGATGCAATATTTTTTTTGACGCAACTCTCCTTATCTCGGCTTTTATGTTTCCTTTCTGGTTTATTACAGTTTCTTCGCCTCTCACTCCGTCTTTCTCCCCCTCAGAAGAGCTTCTCTTTCCTTAACTCATCTCCTACTCTTTTTTCTATCTTCTCCTCTTTCCTCTCTTCTTCAATCCTTCCTCTCTATTCCCTTCCTCCTTCTTGCCTCCTTACTTCCATCTCGACACTTCTCCTTTTTTTCCTTTCTTATCGAGGCATTAGTGAGGATATCAAGCCACCCCCTGCTCTCACCTCCTGTAATGCCTCTACTTCCATCCCTCCCTCCACCACTTTCCTCTCTCTCCCTCTCTCTCCTTTTCGATCGCTCCCACTCAGAAGGGCCCTGAATGAGGACGGCAGATTGTGTGAAGTTGGATGTTGATTCTAGGTGACAGGCACCATATTAGTCATAGCCATAATCACAGAGCCCCCAACACACACTCACACACTGATGTGCTCCAAAACACAGCAGCACTGCAAAGCAGAATTGCCGATGGTTCAAACGTGAATAGTTCATGCCATGCATGTAGATATCTGGCAAACAAAGGCCCATACATAGTCTTTGGAACACTCAAAGTGTACGCTCTACACTACTTTTGTCATTCCCACTCACTCTCATTTATACACTATAGGTGAGGCTCAGCAAGAATCCTTGTCAGCTAATACATTAACACTCATTCACACACTGCAGGATATGCCTGCAAAAGCATATAAGGGTATAATGCTCAAAGGAATGCAGCATATGATCCTATATGTCAGTCACAGTCACCAAAAATTCATACTGAATGATTTTGTTCCTAACACAAACTATCTGCTTAAAATTCCAGTCTATTAATACAGAGTTTAGCCTAGAGACTGACCAATATGGGATTTTGAGGGCCGATAACGACATTAGAGAGGAAAAAGAAATTCAAATTCCGATATCAGCCGATATCTTTTTTAGATCTATGTTGGATCTGTAGAGATAGATATATACACATTTATTGCATTGATCCCTCAAATGTAGGTATCAAACACTTGTGGAAAAGATATACAGTATAACAAAGACAAGATGGTCACTTAACTGGAAGTAATTGTGCATGTACGTGCACAGCTTGACACTCTTGTATGCCTTTTTGTAAAGGTATAACAAAAATGTCATTTTTATGTTTAAAATTCTTTTTAGCGCCTGTGATCATGCTTGTTTTAATCCATATAGCGCCCTCTGCTGGTGAAACGGAACTGCTCGTGTAATACAACGAATCTCTAATGAAATGATATTTGACTGGTGAATAAATCTAGTAATATCGGCACATATCGGTGATAAAATTAGCTGAAACTGATAGTCACTGAATATGCTACTATTGGCCTATATCATCGGCCGGCCGATAAATCGGTCGCGCTCTAGTAAAGACAAAATAGACAGGTAAACTCTGTAGATTCAGTAAAAAAAAAAATAAAGACACTGTTTACATTCAGGGCCATTTCTTGGCAATTGTGTGCATATATGTATACTGTATGCAGACCTTTTTTGATCAAACTCAATGTTCAATTGAGCGTATATGAGTGATCTCCATTTGTATTACTGAATTTAAAAAACACATTAGAATATATACAGTTCACTATGATTAGTTTAAAAATGTAAAAATTCATTTAATGATATTGTAAGTAGCAATGCAGTGAAATGATGTAGAACTGCTACAGATAGTCAATTAGTGGACCAATAAAACAAATAAACTATTTGGCATCTGTTTCATGTCAATATTGAAGATTGAAAAAAAAAACAGACAGTTGGTTACATCACCTTGAAACCTAGAAAATGTTTCATTGGCATTGGCAGGCACCTCAAACTATTTTGACATTTCTGGGCGTAATCTTCTAGACTTGAAATGACTGTGCTTTTAAAAAGCAAAAAATCAAAGCAATTTTGAAGGAGACGAGAAAAGAGCAGGTCAGCAGTGGAACGGGGGAGAGGACAAGAGATGCAAGTGAGGATAAAATTTTGCGGTGAGAGCATGGACCTGAGCTAGAATAACACATAATAACATTTTTTTTTAGAAGATAGAGCCTAACATAATAGGATGTGAGAGAAGTGGGAACAGGCAGGAGAAGAAAAAAAAGTGCTACAAAGCGAAAACGAACTAGAACAGGAAGCTGAACCGGGACAATGAAGGACGAAGAATAAAGCAGAGGTGAGTGTGAGATAAATATAAAAAAGGACAAAACAGAAAAACGGCACAAATGAGCAAGGTCAAATACAATGGATGTAGAAATGAAGAAAGACAAGCTAAATGAAGAAAGACAAGCTAAATGAAGAAAGACAAGCTAAATGAAGAAAGCAGAAAATGTCTCTGAGCGAATGTTCAGATGACAGAGGACTTATCATTGAAAAGAACACATGCTAAGAGAAAACAGAAAAGCTTCAAGGGAAAAAAAAGAAAGAAAAGAAAGAGGAGCCAAGAAGAAAAAGTCAAAGGGCTCTCCAGTTCAATATATAAATATCAGGAGTTCACGATTGTTCTTTCATTTTGCTACAGTTATGATATTACTCTCCAAGAATGAGAGTGATTTCAGCCTTAGTATGAGAAGAATAGCATGTCAAAGTAAAGGGATCAAACAATTCTGGGCAGTATTGGGTGAAGAGAAAAGAAAAACCTCAAGAAATCAAAGAATCCCGTATTGCTCCGGTTATTAAGTTCCAGAAGGCATGAGGTGCTTTGTGGTAGGAGGTCGAGGTCCTTAGGGGGCTCAAATAATGCTGACTGAAACAAGCATCCAAGCACCATTGATTGGACACAAGTAGAAGATCAATGGACATGGCCGAAGGCGCCATAAAAGAAGAAAAAGACCCCCACGATCCAGACGCTTTCCGTCATACAAACCAAACGCCCCTCGGCCCCGCCATTGATTAACCTGAGGCCTGTGTGATTACAAAGCAAACTCAATCTGCTGTCCGTTAAAGCAAGAAAATGAGAACGCGAAGAACAAATTTGGAAATTTTTCCAGAGTTTCTAGATTACATTCTGGGAGACAGGATGTTAATATTATCATTAGCACGGCTTAAAATGAAAGAAAGGGCTTTGCACATAGCCCCCGTTTTCTTTTCTTTCTTTCTTTTTTTACACACAGCAGACTGGAGCACAGTGTGCCAGCTGCATTTCTAAAGGGTATAAGCGAGTCAGATGTCGTTGAAGATAGAGAGACCAAGTGAGACAATATCAAAGGTGTGAGGGGAGCTAAGGCACAAGAAATGAAAAGGCACTCTATGCCAGGGAAAAATGTCTGAGAGAAAGCTGGATCGTGGGCAGTGTTAGTGTGTATGTGTGTAAGCTTGCATACATTTGCCCAGTAAGAGACTCTCAGGGAATAGCCAGAAGTCTTATTGTTTCATCTCTTTCATAATTGAAAAAGTCTGTTTTTTAAACAGCATGATCGTGCCTGTAATTTCTTCATATCGTCTTAGATGAGCACTTAGTCCAGAGACAATAAGTCTGATGCATGACTGTTTGACCTCAGGAAGTCAGTCTGACAGTTACACATCCTGAAGACAGATATGTGTGTGTGTGTGTGTGTGTGTGTGTGTGTGTGTGTGAGAGAGAGAGAGAGAGAGCGAGAGAGAGGATTAAAGGGAGTCACAGGAGACTTAACGAGGCCTCTGGGACACTTGAGTTCAACCTCCTGTTACAAGAAAGTGTTTCCACCGGACCATAAAAGCATTTTCTTTTTCTCTAAGCTCTATCTGAGTGTACTCATGCCTGTCTCTGTTTGAATGACATAGAGCAGAAGAGACTACGTGGGTTTTGGTTGTTTGTGTGTGCAGGCAGCTATGAGTGCCATGCGTCTTTCTCAATTACTGCGAAGGGAAAGGGGACAAATGACACGTTGGCAGCTTGTATAATCGATGCGCTCATAACGTTAGTCGATAGAAGTCTGATCATTACGTTGTCAATGCATAGCCTTCCTACATGACACGGTCACCCGCTGCGCACAAGCCCGATATGTGCCTTCTTAAAAAAAAAAAAAAAAAAACCGAGTGCATGGACTTACCGCAGTAGAGAACCAGCAGCGCTGTCAGAAGCACCACAGCCCAGAAAGTTGACGACATTCTCGGCCAGCGGCTGGCATCTTTGCGTCTTGGCAACCTTGACACTGAAGCCATTGAACGAACAGAGCACTTATTCTCCGAAGGGGGGGAAAAAAATAAAAAAAAAGCAAAGCTAGAGGGCTGATCTCACAATCCAGCTCGGATTCTCTCAATGCTCATATCTCCGCGTGTAATCCTACAGAAAGACATGTCAAGATCGAGCAACTGATGGAAAAGCAGTGATATATGCTCCTTCGGATTTCTTGTGCGCAAAAGAAAAGGTCACATCTTCCTCAGGAATCCCCACTTGGGAAACAAAGCAGTGCCTTTATATCTGTTTTGATAAACAAGTTAGTGGACGTCCTTTTTAGTTATCCCAAAGTGTGTTCACCACAGATTTCGTCCTGAATTTCAGTATGATGAAGAGCGGTGCGCGGGTACCTGCGCTGAGTTACTGCTCCAAGTGTTCAATCATCTATACCGCAGCGTCGTAAAGCCTCCTTTCACCTGTGGTAGCTTTCTCCGATTTTTCTTCAGCCTCACACTGGTAGCATAGCCAACCGGGTTGAAAAATAGACAGGGTCCGATTAAATCCGAGGAGTAAACGCTTGGATGGGTGGAGAAGAGTCGGTCGTAAAAGGGTGAAAAAAAATAAATAAAAAAGTCCTTTCGGCTTTCAGTTTGGGCGCGAGGTAGATGAAGCTCCCAGCATGCTTTCAGGAGGAAACGAAGGAAGGAGAATGGATGGGACGAGAGGGAGAGAGAGAGACTGAGGGAGAAATGAGCGAACCGAAAAGTGCGCACTGTGCGACTCCCAAGTGATTTTGTGGAAAGTGAAATATTCACTTAATCGATATTGCGTCGGTAATTTGCCACTTGAGGTCGCGGTTTACAGTAATTTCACAGCAGCTCTCTGCTGTACACAGAATGAATCACTCTGCATCAATATATCAGCCTGAAACACTGCTCGTAATGTATGAAATGGGCATCTATTTTTAAATCCTGTCTGGATTTGCTAAAAAGGTTTACATTTTCCTCAGCAATGCATCATTTAGCTTATTGTGTATTATGCTTTGTTGGATTTTGCAGCCATTGTAGTTTCACAATTATGGAATGCGTGTCTCTCTTTTAAGTGCATATATCACAACAAAAGGAATACACATTATGTAAATCATTGTTTATATTGAATGCAAAGATTAAAAACTTTATTTTATTTTTATTTTTTACATTTTTGAATGTCTTCCTAACCTTTACTTCTGATCTATAATTCTATTTGCTGAGACTATTTTACAGAAAATATATCTCTGTCTATTATTGGAATATAAGGAACACATTGCTAAAAGAAATAAAGAATTTATCTGAAAGCTTTAGTTATGTTTTTACAGATTTAACAAAAATGTTAATGTGTGCCACAATGCAGGATGAAAATGAGGCATTATAGGTAGACTAACCAAACAGTAAAAAGAAGTTGTGAAATAAAGCGCTCATATATTTCAAAGCTACAACGCACACGTCTCTGATTAAGACCCATGATTACTTTTTGAGTCATTATGGACAAGGGCTACTGTTAATGTGCTTTACTTAATGCAGCACATTTTTTATATTTACATGTCAAACACTATGACCTATAGCAGCTGCAGCGCATTGTTCAGTTGTCGAGTCTGCAACTTTACTTTTTGGTTCACAGTAACAAAAATGAAAATAAAAAGTTCACAATGCACTTCCTGCTCAGCCCCAAACGGCCCAGTTAGCAGCTAGTTTATGAACATATGGGAACATTCGGGTGCCAAAAAGCTAAGTGTTTTCATCAAGAGCTGGTGGAGACCAAGAACAGAGCTTAAAAGGAATGAATTTCTGTATTACATGCAATAGTTTGCCAGAAACTACACACCTGCTGTATATGCCTTGTTGCCTTTGATGACCCTAAATTAAAAGTAAAAAAAAAAATAGTGCTTGCAAACGAGTTTACCATACTGACTTAATAAATTAAAAATGAGATATATTAATTAATCCCAAAGGTGGTCACACTCTGTTATTGAGACATGCAACACACACAGGCTTAAATATACACGTGCAAAAACAGGATCCTATGGACATGCATTAATGGATAGATGTCAAGGTGAGGGGGCTGCGGTCAGCGCTCCTGGGCTGGGGGTTGGGTGGGCTCAAGGGTACCCTGGCACTGCTCCAGCTACCACACCAATTTCCAGATTTGGTCTACACTGGGACTTGAACCGGCAACCTCTGGTTCCCAACCCAAGTCCCTGCAGACAGAGCTACTGCCGCCCCTATAGTATAACTCCTCTCTGCTGCCTCCAAGTGGAGAATAATCCCTTTTGCAGGTTTTTGTGAAGTTATTATTTTCTAATTGTATTAAAAGGTTGTTGACTTGTAATGGAGTAAATTTGCATTGCTCTACTGCCCTTTGTCTTGTCTCTGTGCCTGTTTCCCTGAGCACAATAGAGATTTGGTACCATGGACAGCGCCGGTGACTAAAAGCTTAATAGACAGTGCAGTAAGCGATACATTTTCAGCACCATGGACAGCACTAGTCACAGCCCATATATAGACAGTACAAAAGAGAAATGGTACCACAGACAGCACCAGGGCCTGATCCCCAGCACCATGGACAGCGCCACTGAGAGCTGCTCCTGTCAAGCTGGAGCTGGCTCTGTGTGCTGGCAGCGAGACTCTGGAGGCTTCTGTGCGTTCACCTCAACACACCCCGCCATGCATACTAAACCCCAAAGTCTATGTGCCCACACTATTTTGTGGTCCTCAGGGGAACAAATAACCACGAATAACTCAATATTCAAGCCAGAAAAGCTTGCTCTTTTATTCTGGAGTTGAAAGAGGTGGTCTTACAGCTGTGATAACTCATCCAACAAGTTCCTTTATAGAGATTCCAAGTTACCCCTGCTAAGCCTTGCTGTAGTAATGTGCACTAGACTGGTGCTCTTGTAAATCAGAGGGTAACCACAGTGGGTGTACTAAAATAGTTTATTGCTGTTTGTGTCTCAGTCAGTCCTTAAAACACTCCTAATCGACATGTTATTGCTTTATTCCTTCACTTTTGTGAGTAACTCTGGACATTTTACCTTTTTTTCATTTTGAAAAAAAAAAAAGTACCTCCAGTTGTCATGTCTTTATTCTGCCTTCATTTGTTGTCTGCATTTCCATGTTACAGAATATATTCAAAAGCAATGGAGACAATGAAGACAGTCAGTAACAGCCCCTGTGGGAGAGATGTTTCATTGAAAACCAATTATTCAAACAGTTTTTATGTATATAGCATCAATTTACAACAAACGTTATCTCACTTTATAAAAACACCAGGACTAGATCGCACTCTTTGTTATATTATTAACACAGACCCAACACAAATTCACTGTGAGCAAAGACTTGGCAACAGTGGCAAGGAAATACCTGTTTTAAAGGTCACATATTATCCTCCTATTCAACAAGTTTAAATGAGCCTCAGAGCTCCTCATAATATGTCTATGAAGTTTCTATCTTATAATCCACTCTGATCCTGTATTTGATCATGCCTATGAACCCCTCTATTTTAGCTCTGCTCAGAACAGACTGTTTCTGTGTCTGTAGCTTTAAAAGCAAGCAAGCTTGTTCTTGCCCACGCCCTTCTCTTGAATGGATGTGGCTCAGGTTTTCTCGAACGGTGCCTTATTGTTTATGGTGTAAAGGCAGACTCAGAGGGCAGAAAAAACACCTAGATGCGGGAGTGTCACCCACCTGGGGGAGGGGTTACTGTCCTTTGTGATGTCATGAAGGGAAAATCTCCAAACAGCCTGTTTGAACGCACAATATATATATTCATATTATCTAGAAAGGAAGTATAAAAGAAGCGTCAGACTTCCTTAAGAAGCCTAACTGGCTTCAGGTCTAGTGACAGGTTAGAAGAAATACGGTAAAACTTAAAACAAAAGCCCCTCCCTATTCAAGACCCCGTCCCTTTTACTAGCCTCGTGTTGCAGCGCAAATAAAGGCAGGTCTTAATTAGAAGCCTCTATGCATTGAGTGTTGAAATAGTTAGCAGATCAAAAATAAGGAGGAAAAGCAGCAAGACACAAAAAATCAAAGAAGAACTTCATGTGTCCATTAAAGACAATTAAATGCTAGTTTGAGTGACAGGAGGGATGGGGAACATTCTGCTGCTTGTGCTGGCTCTTGAGGTGGAAAAGAATGTTGAAACTATGAAAAACAAAAAAAACAAAATTCATCTGTCATGCCAAACTTTTAATGCTGTAACACATGCTGGAGACATTGTGTGTTTACACAGCTTTGTAGGACAGCACAGCACTTGTTAGTGATTATATGAACAGGGGTCTCTCTCTCCCTCGTCTTTCCTGTGCATGGGTTTCAGTTTGAAAAGTAATGAAAGAACCGTCTCGTATTGATGTCTATCCCAAATAAAGTCAGGGTCATTTCATAGACTGACGTAAATAAAACGTTGGGCTTTTAATTGAAGTTTTACGGTAATTCACTGTAGTTCAGGAAGAACAGTATATACTGTACAGCAAAGCTAGAGCCTCCATTCTACACATACAGTTACAGAAGCACACAAAACTACACACACACACTGAATCAGAAACATTCTTTAAATGCAAATGATATAATTAAGCCCATATACTCAGGGTTTCTCCGTCTGTCTCAGCCACACAATAACAAAAGCAGACATTTTCTTACAGCTAGATGAAATCGGTAAGCTGTGGCCTACATATGTGATCCCCCTCCGTCACTTTTACGTAACATTTCTAAAACTCCAAACAGAATGAAGCACACAAAGCATAGGAAGACTGAGTTTGGATATTTATATTTTGGAGTACTGTTTTCCCTTTAGAGTCTTCAAAGTTGAACAAAAGATACGGGCTGAGGCACTTTTTTTTTTTATTGTTGGCTGTGCAGTCTAATAAAAAATCTTTTTCCCCTCTCAACATGAATCAACATTGTGACATTGGTTCTATTGACTCTCCGTGTTCACTGGTGCTCAGCACTGAGGTCTGGCTTCTGTTGGAGTTGTAAATGAGGAGTTTTAAACAGTGTGTTAGAATGTAGATGAGGTTGACAAGAGAAACATCCATAAGCTGCTGCCATGTGCAACAGCTCTGAAGAATCAGGTGAACAAATTACTTTGGAAGACGCACGATCCCCATCTGAGCGGCAAGCTCGAGCAGGACTTCTGTAGCAGAGACCAGACATAGGAAAACTGTTTGTGAAGCAGTGAAAAATAACTGTAACTAATAAAGAGCAGAGATAAGCAAGGAATGAAGGGAGCTCTATTGTTGTTGTTGTTTGGAAACAACTGGTTTCCAAAATGTTATTTTCAAAGCCTGACTATCACTGCCTTTATTTTATTTTTTAAATTATATAAACAGAGCATTGCCAAAAAATATAATCATTCAAGCTCAGAAATCCCAAATGTTTTTAGTCAGATAAGTACTGTCCCTTAAGTCACAGAAAAACAGCATCATGGGAAAAACAAGATTACCTGTGTTTGATTCCTTTCCGGCTTTCCTCATTTATTTACATATGTTTGTATAAACATCAAAATGTTTTCAAAGATTTGCAATTGTAAGGGGATTAAACACAATGGCATTGAGAGAAGTATATAAAATGGAGATTTCAAAATAAGAGACGTCATGTCCTCCCCAACTGTTAGTGAGGAGCTGCTGATTGGTTAATTGGGCGCAGCTGGTCAGGGCGCGGGATGACCTCTGTGGGTAAGCTCGTTTCGTTGTGTAAGTTTAGCATAGTGCGCATGTGAATAAATGAT